TTCTCCCTGCTGAGTTCCCCGGGGTGAGAAGTACCCCAGCTCATTCACTCTCCCTGCTGAGAGTTCCCGGGGTGAGAAGACCCCCAGCTCCCTCATCTCCCTGTGTCTCCTCCTGGAAAGTGCTCCTGACAGCTAGCTCTTCATCACCTCCACTGCAGTTCCTGCTGGTCCTTCTCGCTCTGCATCTGGCAGAAGGGCAGTGAAGCGTGTTAAGTGTTAACCGTCTTCCCTCCTTCCTGCTCCTGTGAGTTTTCTCTCAGTCTGTAAAGCCTGTGGGGCCAGAGGCTGGGTGGTCTGGAGCCAACCTCTTCATTTATAAGGTGGCTAATTTAATCACAAATATTCTTGCCAATCTCCATGGCTACAGGACTGATTTCTGGCCACTTTGCAGGAACAGATGGGGGTCAGGACCCCTTCTTTCTTTCCTTAGATGGGGATGGTTCTGGAGCATCACCCCCTCAAGGAATGGGGGGCTTTGCTCTTCTTGTCCCTAAGTAGCAGACCTGGGTCACATTTGAGCCTGGATATCTCCTTTAGAAAAAGTTCTAGGGTTCTAGGTGGGGAGGGGGCTCCTGGGAGAAAGACTTCTGGAATATCCCAGTTATTATCTGCTGTTTGTGAATAACTGCTCCCAGAGTTAGAGTGAGCTGAAGAGACAGAGGCAGACGTGAGGCAGGGGACATCTCCTTGGAGTCTTCCTGGGTCGTTTTAATTTCCCAGTCAAAGTCCTATTACGGGATCATGATTTACGGTTGGCTTGTGGGGGCCCTGGTGGCGGACACCGGAGGTCTGGCCTTGTCTCTGAGAATTTTACGAAAAAGAGCAGCTGCTGCATTGGGACAGGGGTTAGGGGCACTTACCGGAAAGGCTGGAGGGCGGCATCCAGCTGGGCACTGCATCTGTCCGGGGCCGGCCCGTCCCCTACCTCCCCCGTGCCTCACTCCCCACCGCGGGCAGCTGCTCCTGCAGCCACCGCTGTTGCCAAGAGTGAGGTACAGAAAAGAGCCGGAAAGCATTTCTCCTATTTTTTTTTTTTTCTCTCTCTCTTTTTAAACCGGAGGAGAATGAGTCTGCAGCAACCCTGTTGGTGCAAAATAAATAAATAAAGCGAGCAGGGAGGGCTGCAGCGAGCGCCACTGTCGGCAGCAAGGGTCGGGGGGTGCAGAGGGAACCACTGGTGCCAGGGCGACAGTCAGCGAGAGGGGCCTCGGGAAAGCTCTGAAGGGTCTCTCTGGCATCCTGACCCCCTCTGGGGTCTCTCGGGCCAGGCGCCTTCCAGAGGGTTATGCACAGGCGGTTGGTCTCCCAGATGCGGAAGGGTTCTGTGCAACCTCTCAATCAATCTAATGTCCCCCGTGGGGTATCTTTGGTGGGGAAAGTGTCCAGTCCAGAACATTGCTGTGGAGCTTAGTCTGAGGATCCTGAGTTCGGGGTTCCTGGGGCTTTCTCTCAGCTCCGCAGCCTCAGCGGGGGCCTGCTCAGCCTGGGGAGAAGCTGGGTGGGGGGGCTGAACCCTCCTGGGTTCTAATGTTGACAGATTGCTGAGACTGGAGAGCAGGCATGTAGGTTAGCTTATTTAAGACCCTGTCGCCCCCACCGCCACCTCTCGCCTTGAAAATCATTTGATAAAGAATGGCACACGCAGGTACTATTGTTTCCTCAGCTAACCCCCTCCCCTGAGAAGAAAAATAAAATAACTCCCCCTCCCCATCACCTGCTGTTTATGCCTCAGATGAGGGTTCACAGTTAGTTAGAGTGCCAAGAGAAGTTCTGGGTCGAGAGAATGGGCTGGAGACACAGATCTCTGCCCTGGCTCCTTGGCTCCTTCCCCACTCTGGAGCCAGCGGTGCCCAGTCAGAGGGGTGGAGCTGAGTCTGATTTCCCCATAGTGAGAGCAGGCTGGAGGGCAGGGCCAGGGAAGTCCTCCAAGGGTCTGTCCTTGGCCTTCTGGGCAGCGTCCAGCCATCTCGCCTTCTCTCGGGGCTTCTTGTGGTTGGAGACAGCTGTGGCTGGGATAGAGCTCGAATCACTCCACGTTGAATATTGGTGGATGGAGCAGGACGGAATGCTCTTGGGTCCCTCAGATGTGGGAGTCTTCCCCAAGGCCACTAAGCTTCTCTGGGCTGTGACCCCAAGCATGAGAGAGAGGGGTCACAGTAAGTGTGTCCACAGAACTGCGTAATTGCAGGTTGAACCTGTACGTGTTTCACCTGTATGTGGACGCGCGTCCCTGATCAGATGTGTCCTAACCCACAAAGTCTATTTTTAAAGTGCATAGAGGAGGCGAGTTCTCTCTCCCTATGTCTGTGATGCTCTCAGTCTTCATTGTACCCTATTCCCACCCCCGTAAGGCAGTTCTTCCCAGCTCCTTACCCCATCCCCTCTTTATCCTCCACATGTCTAGTTTTCTTCCCTTTTTTTTTTTTTAACACTCTGGGAAGAGGGCAGGGTGCCCAACCACTTCCTTGCTGAGCTGGGAGGAAGGAGGAAGGCAGAACATCTAAAGATTCAGATTCGTGTTATATACAGGTCCCTCTGGGCTCCAGCCGCCAGTCTCTGAGCTTGATCCATCTCCCCCAGCAAGAAGCCCACAGGGAAAGGCAATGAGGTATTTCAAAGACCTGCTCTTAGCTTCTGAGCCCAGAGTAGAGTTGTGTTCATCCAGAGAGGCCTGGCTTCCCCTGTTGTCCTGAGGATCCCCTGGTCCTCCAGGGGGTCCTTATATCCCAGCCCACCGCAGGCCTCCCAGAAGCTGGGGGTGAAGTGGGAGATGAGATAGAACAGAGCTGAGTCTGGAGATGGTGTACCTCTATCCCCACCCTCTGGCCATTGTCCCACTGCCAGGCAAGTCTGTGGGCAGAAAACCAGTCTCAGTGCTGGCTCACTCCCAGAGAACATGTGGGGACCACCCTCCAGACGATACGGGACAGGAAAAGGCTGAGGTGGAAGGGGATCCCGGGAGGTGGGCCAGCAGGCTCCAGGGTGGGTCACTGGGACAGCCCCTCGGGTGGCTCGATTTCAGTGCTGAAGAGTTCCTTGTAGAGTGGGGGGAAAGCAGCTTGGACCACGATGGGGTGGAGGTGCTGGAAGGTTTGCAGCTTTTCCACATGCTGGCTACACAGACTCCGAAGTTTCCCCTTGGGTGGCAGCTGGAGATGGTTAACGGGGAAGGGAGGTCAGTGTTTCTGCCCAAGCCACCACCTCTCTCCCCGGGGCCAAGCAGTCCTCTCCTCCTTCTGGGCCAGGACAACTCTCCTTGCCTTCCTTGTGCACTTGGCACTTCCGGAACAACCAGATCCCACTGAGAGGGGCGTGCAAGGGCTCCGGAAACTGGGGGCAGGTGGGAGCGTGTGTGGGACGGGTGTGTGTCTTCTGGATGACACCCCCAAATCATGTTCTTCTCCTCAAATGAGCCCTGTTAAAGACTCTCTAACTTATACTTAATGCTCTTATCAGAGTGACTTTCTGTGACTCTGGGTTGTGTGCTGTCACATGTCTCTGCCTTTGTTCAAGCTTCCCTCACCTGGAACGCCTTTCCAGCTCTTCTTTGCCTGGCTGGTTCACACACACTTTCCAGAGTTCCCTCCTCTGGGGATCCTCCCCTAACTACACCAGTCTCCACTCAGGCCCTTCCTCTGGGCTTCTCTCTGTGTCACACTTACCACACTGTAGTAAACGGATCCAGTTGTGTGCCTGCCCGCCCTAATCTACACTCCTTAAGTAAGGTGTGTGTGTGTGTCCGTGTGTCTGTCTCTGTATCCCCTGTACCTATCATAGTGCTTAAACCCAAACCAAACCCCTCACCATCGAGTTGATTCCTACTCATAGCGACCCTACAGGACAGAGCAGAACCTCCCTATGGGGTTTCCAAGGAGCAGCTGGTGGAGTCAAACTGCCGACCTTTTGGCTAACAGCTGTAGCTCTTAACCACTGCACCACCAGGACCCCATCATAGTGCTTAGCGCATGGTAAATGCTCGAAAACTGTTTGTTTGAACTGAACAGAATTTCCAAGCAGGTACCCAACATTGCAAGCAGTCAGCTACCACTGCCGGCACTGGCATTCAGCCAGAGGGGAAAGGAAAGAGGAGCAGAGACGCGTATGGAAGCAGACGAAGGAACACCTCACTGGAGAAAAGGCTGAGAAAACCGTTCATCTCCTGCAGTTTCCTATAAAACCAAGTGAAGCTCAAAAATACCTCTCCCCAGCATCTCCCAGCGCAGCTTAGAAGAGGGATAGCCAGGGAGTGCAGGTGGGATGGGGGTCCTTTGATATCTAAGTTCATCTTCTCTTCATCCCTACTGTTTTACTCCGGGTTTATCTGGGCTATTGTTACAGCTTCACTCATCCACTCAACAAACAGTTGTTGAGAAGCTACTCTGGGCTAGACGCTGCAATGGGTTCTAGTGATATATCAGCAAATAAAATAAAATCTGAACTTTTATTTAGTTTATATTCCAGTGAGGAAGATAAAGTAAACAAAGACATAGTATGTCAGACAATAAGTCCTATAAATAAAAATAAAGCAAGGTGAGGGGGAGGAGACTTCTTACGCTGGGCAGTCAGGGGAAGCCTATCTGGATGGAGAAAGCCAGGTGGAAAACTGAGGGAAGAATATTCCAGGCAGCTGGAACAACAGGCAGAAAAGCGCAGAGATGGGACTGCTTGTTGTGTTCAAGCAAGAAGGCCAGTGTGGCTGGAACGGGTGATGGAAGGGGCAGTAGAAGGAGACCAGGTGAGAAAAGAAGTTGGGGGTCATGTCATGAGTCAGCCTTTTGGCCACAACACAGACTCTAGATCTGCTTCTAAGCATGATCGTCAGCCAGAGGAGGATTGAGAACAAGAGTACCACATAGTGTGATGGTCTTTTCAAAAAGGTCGTTGTGGCTGCTGCAGGACAGAGAAGGGTGGAGCAGGGGTCCAATCAGGAGGCCTCCCTAATAGTCCGAGCTGCTATCAGTCTGGTCACAGATTTGGAAAGGTGGAGCCAGCCAGATTTGCTGTCAACTGGTCCCCCAGTTTCCAGTGTCTCCTTCTAATCGAGCCTACCAGACTTGAAATTCTTTAGGACGAGCCTGTTGTTTAAGTCATCTTTGTATCCTTAGAGCCTAGCACTGTGCCTGGCACATAGCAAGTACCCAACAGAGATTGCCTGAATGATTATATAAATGGTTCTTATGTACTGGTTCCAAATTAAGTCACCTAAAATAATAGCTCTGATTAGATCATTCCTCTCGCCTTTGGTGCACCTTACTGCCTAGAAATAAAGGGTTAACTCTTGAACGTGGCATTGAAAGTCCTCTGTGATTTGCCACTGACCTAATTTTCAGGCTTATCTTCTGCTATGCCTCTGCCCCCAACAATCTATCCCAGCTCTGGATCCTAAACTTCCATCACGATGTACCATGAGCTATTCTCTATCTGTGCATGATTTTACCTTCTTTCTTTCTCCCATACTGTTCCCTAAACCTGGAATACCTGCCGCACCGCCACAAATGCCTGGTAAAACCTTTCATAAACCACCCCCAAAAAAACCCATTGCCATGGAGTTGATTCCGACTCACAGCGACCCTATAGGACAGGGTAGAACTGCCCCACAGGGTTTCCAAGGCTGTCATCTTTATGGAAGCAGACTACCACATCTCTCTCCCATGGAGCAGCTGGTAGGTGTGAACCACGGACTTCTCGTTTAGCAGCCGAGCACTTAACCACTGTACCACCAGGGCGCCTACATCTTTCATGACCTAGTTTAAATACTAACTTCTCTAGATTGCATGTATGACCCACTCCTTTTACTCTCAAATTATTTATATCCCTGTTCTATGCTCTCATAGTACTTCCGCAATATCCCTTATTACAGTAATATATCGGGGGCAGAAGGATACAGTGGAAAGAGCACTGGGATTAAACCTTGCATTTATTACTTAGGAATTGTCAGTCTCCTTACCGGCTACCAGGAGATTCTAGCACCTGTCCTTGGCTGGCTTGGCCATGAGGATGAGAGAGCACTCTGTTAATGGCATCATTGTCACATCACAAGCACATTCTGTCCTATATTCGTTTTCGGTACGAGTCTTCCTACCAGATTATGAACTCTTAGCAGGGACGAGGACCGCGTCTCTGTATCTTTCCACAGCGCCCTGTATGAGCAGGTGCTGGGTAAGTGCTGGTATATTAAACGGAATTGCTCCCTGGAGGTCCCTCCCAATTCCAGGCTCTCTACTTTCCATCTTTACTCTCACGGAAGTGGCTGCTCAGTCCCTTCATTCCCGCTGCTGTCACAAGCTCTCTAACCCAGTACGACACTGACGCATTCCCTCCTCTGTACTCTGAGACCCTGGCCCTACGGGCCTTAATGACACAGAGCTGGCACTGGGCCTGGCCTCTTCCACCCCAGAGTCTGCTTTTACCTCTGCCAAGATGCCTTGGCGACGAGTCTTGCAGAGGTGATGATGAAAGGCCAGCTCGAGATTGTACTGCAGCTGTTCCACTTTCCTCTTCTCCTGGAGCCCAGGCCGGTCTGAAGGAGGGCGTGGGACCATCGCGGGGACAAGAAAGAACATGGACGTTAACTTCCACCAAAAGGTGTATCTTTGGGGGCATCTGTGCTGCATAGGGGCCTTCTCAACAGCGGACGTGTGTGCATTTCTTGCGTTTGATGATGGTTTAAGCTCTGGGACCTTGGGCTGGGCTAGCAGTTTACAAGGAAAACGAGGGAGAGATGCAAGGGATGAGAAGAACGTCCAACCTCTCAACTCCAAGCTACCTTCTCCCTGGTACCCAGATTGCACACAGCACTTTCAATGTTAGGCGCTAGGATTCTGCCATAAGTAATAATAATAAAGGTTTGGAAGAGAGCACCCTTGCCCCCAAGCATGACCCCAGTCAGAAGGTGGCCTCAGTGACACACACCGCTTCCATGGCAGGCCAGCACCGGGACTCTGCAGCTGTCTGTGGCTAGCTTCAACACACAAGCCACCTTTGGCCCTGGCTCCATAAAACAGCCAGAAATCATCTTCTTTTCCAGTATCACAACTTTCTGCTGTTAAAGAGCTCTTCTAAGCTTTTATTTCCAGTTTACGGGGCACATTTAAGACTCTGCCCACTGGCAGAGCTGGAAGATTGATAATCTTGGCCTTCAAACTCAGGTTAACAGCTCCATTCTCCAGGTTCTCTCTGAATACTTAGCATTCAGCTGGCTCAGCCCAGCCCACCCCATTCCAGTGGAGGGGATATCCAGAGGGCTGGCATTACAGGGAGACAGGCATTTTTGTCCCGCTGCTGTTGAGTCTGTTTCGATGCACGGCAACCCCATGTGTGTCAGAGTAGAACTGTGCTCCACAGGGTTTTCAATGGCTGCTTTTTCAGAAGTAGATCACCAGGCCTTTCTTCTGAGGTGCCTCTAGGTGGACTCGAACCTCCAATCTTTCGGTTAGCAGCTGCGTGTTTTAACTCTTTGCTAGGGACAAACAGTCACCCAGGGACTCCATTACAGGCACAGAGTCTTAAAATTTGTTCACCTTTGCGGCCCATTACAATTGCCCGGGGAACTTTTAAAATCCGGATGCTCAGGCTGCGCCCCAGATCAATTACTTCAGAATCTCCGTGAGTGGTCCAGGCGTCGTTATTTCTGAAGGCTTCCCAGGTGCTTCCAAAGCGCGGCTACCATGGAATCACTGGCCAATTTCTCTCAGGGGGCTGGCTCATTTCCTCCCAACCTCACTCTCCCCACTTCCATAGCCCTGCCTTGAGCTACTCTTTGCATCTCAGACGCGTCCCCAAATCTTCATTTTTACCCCTCTTACCAGACCTCAATATTGGGTGGTGCTCATGCTGCTATTTAAAGCAGTTCCCCAGATTTAACCACTTCCTAAGGGCCAGGCTTTCCAATACGCTTGGTGCCCCACCACCGGGATGGCCTTGACCCAAGCCCAGGGACACTCACTGGCGTTGATGAGAACAAGGGCGGTGTAGAGGGCAATCTCGTCCTCAGAAAAGCACAAGGCACTTAGGGAGTGGGAGAAGTCAAAGATGGCGCTGATGAGCTCGCCGCAGCCTGCGGGGGCAGAAGCGAGAAGCGTCAAGGAGGTGGGTGAGACCCCCGTGCCCAGGGACACCCATCCTCTAGGTGTGTGGAGCAGAGCGCCCGGGGTCTCGAAGCTTTGGATGGGGTGCACATCAGACTCCTGTCCCTCATCCCCCCTGCCCCTCACCCAAGGCTCGGAACAGCTCCACGCCGCCGTATTTGCCTTCAAAAAAGACCGTGTGGTTGTCGGCGTTGTAGGCGCGGCACATCCGGACCAGCACCACTTCCATGGCACCTGGGAGCAGGGACAAGAGGCGGGCGCCACGTCAGCAAGGCCCGGGGAAACTTCTCCGCCCCTCGACGTCCCGGCTTCCACCTCCCAGGCTCGGCCCAGACCCGCCATGCTCTGCCCCTCGCCCCCGGGCCTGCCCGCCCCCGGGCACCTGTTTTCAGCAGCACGATCTGGTCATTCTGGCAGAGCTCCATGAAGCCCGTGAGCCTCTTAGCGAACTCCACCACGTACTGGATGGCCTCGGTGAGGCGGTGGGCGCAGCGCTCCCACATCTCCCACATGGACTGCGGGGAGGAGGGGGGCCCTCTGTAGCCCTCTGAGGCCCAGTGCCCCCCAAGCCCTTGGGAGCTCCAGCTAATACATTGCAGCGGGTAGGTTCTGAACGCCTACATTGTTCACGTCCGCATTTTGAGCCTATTCTTAGCACAAATGAACACTTAGAGATCAATTCCTGCCAGTCGGCCACGTTTACTAGGCGCCCACCTGCTGGGGCTCCCAGTTAGCTGTCGTGGGGGAATAAAAAAGCCCAGGAGATACAGCTTTGCCCTCAAAGAGTTTGCATTCTTGAGGCAAAACGAATAGACCCAAAGGTCCCTACAGCCTAGGGAGGCAAATGTCAGGCGCCAATGTGTCCTTTTAAAGCAGGTTGTATGGTCAGTGTGACAGGGGACAGCCCATCATCTGGAACCACTTCTTTGTGACCTGGACTAAGTCTATTACCACACCCCCCACCCAGATGAGTTTCCCAGGCTGTTAAAAACAGCTATAAATACCAGCCTCATGGGTTGGTTGTTGTGAGGATCCGGGATAATTTATGTAAAGCGTTTAGCACAGTGCCTGGCAGAGAAGGTGTATTTAACAAATGGTAGACAGGATCACGATTGTTACTATTGATAGAGAAGGAGGAAAGCTGCGTAAAATTTTAACGGGCAGGGGCTAAGGAAAAATCCGTCCGTCTGCCAGGGTTTAGACATGCAACACACACACCCATACAACCATACTTAAGAACGAGTCGGGGTACACTGCTGGTGGACCTGTCTCTGTCCGTGACCCCCGGCCCTCCCAGCCCCCTTCTGCTTGCACGTGGCCACGTCTGGGCTCTCCTAGTCGGGTTGGGATGTCCTCCCTCACCGGCACGGCCCCGTGGCCTCACCTTCCTCTGGTAGCTGGTCACCTCCTCCCGCGAGAAGATGTTGGGGCGTTGCCGTAGCAGGTCCTCCAGCCGCAGCTGACACGTCTCTCGGTAGGACTTACAGACATTCTGCACGAGGTGCTCTGAGCCCAGAGGAGGACGGTGTCCTCTTGGTCTCAGCCGGCCCCCACCCTACCCCACAGGGGACCCCTCAGCCCAGGCCACCCCTGCTCCGCCTCCTCCCTCGGCTCTTGTTCATGACCCCTCAACTCCCTCGGGCTGGTCCGTGGGGTGCTGGCTGAAGCCCCTCTCTTGGGGCCTCCCTCACCTTCACCCTGCCCCCCTCCAGCTCTCCAGCTGCTCACCAATCTCAGTCATGGAGGCGTACGGCGTCTCTGGGGTGCTGCGGAAACCGGGGCTACTGTAGTCCGGACCCCGTCCTGGCTCCCCCAGCCCAGAGTGTCTGGGTTCCTCCAAATGCAGTCCACATCTGTCAGGGGTCAGCTGGCTGCCCGTGCTATAGATGCTCTCTCTGCCCTCAGCCTTGCCCCGCTCGGGGCTGTAGTCAAGGTGATAGGAGGCCCCATTGAGCCCTGCCTTGGCCAAGTGACTGGAATAGGAGGGCCCAGAGCCGGGGGCTCGCAGGAGGCCAGGGGGACAGGCAGAGGCCTCGGGCAGGTCAGGGGAGGAACCCAGGGGCAGCTGGCCGTCTGGGAGCCCCAAGGTGTAGGTGAGGGTGTCTGCTCCTTGGCCCCCCGCAGAAGGGGTCTTGGCCACGTGTTCCCGTTGCTGCTGCTGCTGCCTTTGCAGTTGCTTCTGCACTTCCGCGTGCAGGCTGTCCCTCTGCTTCTTGGACATGCGGCCGAACTTGACGGCTGAAACAGGTTGAGGGCTCAGGTTTTTGAGGCCGGAGAGCATGGGACAGGCCAGAGTCAGCCGGCATGTCGATCATTACATCAGGATTACTTGGCTGTGCACGGAATAGCTGCCCCCAAGAAGAGCTTCTCCAGCCCAGAAGCTGCCTTCAGGGAGTTCAAGTCATGACCCTGCCACCTCTCTGTCCTGTTTGCTTCGAGGGTCTGTTCAGATCCCCCTGGCAATTCCATCTCCTGAGCAAACCCTTCTAGCTCTAAACCAGCTTCTAAGTGGCTGAATTCAAGGAATGATTGGGCTGGGGGTGGCCAAGCCCAGGGCCTCAAGTGGTATTGGGGTCACCTGGCTTGTTTAGGAGGGTCGGAGGAAGAGGAGAGCTGAGCACACAGGTCTCCCTGTGGTCAGGCCTGCAGGCTCCCTGGTGACCTAGATACTCACCACAGCCCAACCCAGGCTCCGCGGCTTGTGTCTGAACATCCTCTTCTGCTCTCTCTTTCCTGCCTTCTGACTACCCCCCCCACCCCTCCCAGGTGTGGGGGCACAGCCCCTCTCCCCGCCTGCCCCTTTGCACCCCTGCGTGTTTCCTTTTGCTTTGTTATTTTGGGCACTGAAAAGTGCTGACGGGCTCCTTCTGGCTCCTCATCACCTCACGCCTCCCCCGGCCTCGCCCTGGGCTCCTTCTGTGGTGGGCTGGAGGGGGAAGGGGGCTGGCGAGGTGGTGGTGGGTGAGGAATGTGGATGAAGGTACCAGGAACACCAGCCCTCCCCCGCCGCCGCCCCTTCTGGGTGTTCTCTGGCCGACTCTGGCTCCACTGCTAGCCAGAGTCTTGTGTCCTAGGAAGGGAATGAGGGTCTCGGAAGGGAGACGGAGCTAGAGCAATGGGGTAGGAGGGACAGATTTGGAAACTGGGTGGGACCTGGGCCAGATGGGAGGCGGAGTGAGGAGAACCCATTCCCAGAAAGAAGAGGCTGAGGATGTCTGGGGCCTTGGTAAAAGGAGAGCGGTTCTGTTGTTAATTCCCGCGGAGTCGATTCCAACTCATGGCGACCCCATGTGTGCAAAGGAGAACGGCTCCATAGGGTTTTCAAGGCTGTGACCTTTTGGAAGCAGATTGCCAGGCTTGTCTTCCAAGGCATTTCTGGGTGGGTTTAAACTGCCAAGCTTTCAGCTAGTAGTGGAGTGTTTAACCATTTGCACCACCCAGGGACCCCTGTGTTGTTCTAACAGAGCGTAATGGTGGGGACTCCAAACAACTCTTAGAATGATCTGCCTGTGCCCGGAGTGGACCGTGGAAGAGGAGAGGCAAGAAGGGCCAGCGGACCTCAGGGGCGCATTTCTGCTGGCTAAGCCCTGTCTAGCACAGCAGGCAAGCTTGCTTCTCTGGGGACCCCAGGGAAAACCCCGGCAGCTGCCCACTGGGCCTCACCATCTCGGGACATGCCCAGTGCCAGGCATTTCTGCAGGCGGCAGTGCTGGCATCGGTTCCGGCTAGTGCGGTCGATGGGGCAGTTCTGCTGACGGGTGCAGGAGTAGGTCACGTTGCACTGTTGACTTCGGCGGAAGAAACCCTGAGCAAGGCAGATGGAGACGAGGCTTCCCATCCTGGCCAGGCCCGCTCAGTCCCCAGGGCCTCCATCCCCAGGAGCCTACTACCTGTCAGCTTTCCCTCCTCCATTTCAATCTGTCCTTCTGCAATTCCCCCCTCCACGCCCCCCGCAGTGTAAGACAAAGCCCTCCTGAGCACCGGGCCCTCCAGGTAAGGCACCACGTAGGCAGCTACCTGGGTGCCTCAGGAGACCACCCTTGGAGGCAGAATGAAGGCCACTGAGTCCCTTCTCCTGCGTCCCATCTCTGCAGAGACGACTGTGCATATGTCTCTGCTCATGCACACCTACATAAAGGTGCGTGCCCGCCTGCAACTCACCTTGCACCCCTCACAGGTGATAACCCCGTAGTGGATCCCAGATGACTTGTCCCCGCAGATTTTGCAAGGGATCACTTCAATTTGTGCTGGAAGAGAGAAAGAGAAGGAGGTCAGCTGGGCCCCTCTCTGCATCCTCCCACCACGGACCTGGGCTGCAAGATACGGGCACGTGGTTCTTCCCCCACTTCTCCAACCAGCCCAGCTGGCCATTTCCCCCTTGCAAGAAGGAAGGGGAAGTGAAGTACCAAATGCTCCTCAGCAAAGGGTCTCTGGAGGCTAGTTTTTCTTGGGGCGGAGGGGTGTGGTGGAGGGTGTTAAGGGGGGGTAGCCAGGAGTATCAGTTCTGTGGGGGCAAAGAAAGCAGCTGCAGAAAGGCACCTGCTCAGCCCTTCAAGTTGAAAAGCCCCAGTTGCCTCCCTCCACCTTGGGACATAGGAGTCCCCGCTGCCTCCCAACACCTGCTTCCCGCCCAAGGGGCTTCCTTTGTGCCCCCCCTCAGGGCCTGGCTCCCATAGGCAGAGTGTGGGGCTTGGCAGGAAGATGTGGTACACCAGGCAGGGGCCACTGGGGCCAGGCAGGGATGCCAGTCATCCTCCTCCAGGCAGTGAAGTGGGGAAGGGGCTGCACAGAGACCAGGGGGCCGGGGGAGTGTTTGCCAAGTGGGGCCCTGTGAGGGTAGGAAGAGACAGAGATGGAGCCAGGAGAGTGGGCTCGGCAACCCAGCTCCTGCTGGATGCCTGAGCGCCCGGGGGGAGAATCAGCAGCGCCCTTAAGCCCTTGGCCGAGGGGTAGAGAGAGGGCAGCTCAGCGGGCCCGTGCATTGTGCGTAAGTGTGTGCCCTGTGCTTAGGTGCGTACGAGGGCGTCTGTGTCCCACTGTGTGTGCACAGATGATGAATGTGAAAATTAGCTGGGACTCGAGGCTACCCTACTCCCCTTTTCCTTTGTTACAGATGAAGAGACAGTCTAGATGAGGTGAGGTGGTTGGCCCGCGTCCACATGGCTGGTTTGCTCCCACGCTGGGACTCCGTTCTGGTTCTCCTGAGCTTTCCATTAGACTGATCCGGTACTTGACTTTTGGGGCACATCACACCTCGCGCTGGTGTTGCAAATTCTAGTCCTGGTTGCCCAAATCCACGCCGCATTATCAGAACCAGTGTTTTTCCCAATGTATTCGTGGACATATTTGAGGGTGTGCTTGTTTTGCGTGCGTGCGTGCGTGTGTGTGTGTGTGTGTGTGTGTGTGTGTGTGTGTACATGAAAGGGATGGGTGATTTGTGAGCCAGAGGGGTTGTGCGTTTGAGCCGACGTGTACACACGCACATTTGAGGGTATGTCAGTGTTTGCCTATTGGGCACGAGGACCCCAGATTCTCTCTCCCACCGAGCCCGTTGCGTCTTTTGTCTGCTACCTCTCCCTTCACTGTGGATTGCTGCTGGCCCCAGTTCATGTCCCTCACTTTGTCCTACCCCTGCCTGTGCCCACTACTCTCTGCTGAGTTTTGGGGACCACAGGAAGCCTTCCCCCAGGCTGTCTTTGAAGTGGAGCTGGGCAAAGCTTGGAGTCCCTGGCCATGGCAGCTGCTTTCAGCACTTCCCGGGACACATGGGTCTCCTTTCTGCTATCATGACCTGCTACCTTCCCTCTGAGGTGGGGGGACAGCTGGGGCAGAAGCAGGCCAGAAAAGTGGCCTAGGGCCCCACCCATTCTCGTCTTTGACGCGTCTCCCACCCCGAGGGTCAGAGGGCAAGTCCTTATTCCTGTGAGTGCACCCCCAGCCCCAGGCTTGGACCCCGGTCACATGTAGGCCCGCTGATGTGAGGTGGGGAGGGCATCCATTGCTTGCCCACTACTCTCCCAAATATTGTTTCCATTGTCCTTAAAGCATCCCCTCAGGCCAGCCTAGAGCTGAGTCAGAGTAAGACCTGCCTCCTCATGGGGGACATGGCTCACTGGTGTCTGAAATTCCACCATTAAAACTCAATTCCTGCCCACCCCCACCCCTATTTGCCCACCCAGCACCCCACAGTTAGTCACGGTCACCCAGGACCAGGGGACAGGTGAGCTTTCCGTAAATTAAGGGCAGATTTCAGTGCATGCAAGGGAAGGGGGAACAGAGGGAACTGGGCGCCTGAAGAGGGGCGGAAAATGACGGCCCCCGCCCTGCAAGTCACTTACATCCTCTAGGCCTCATCCTCTCCTCAGTAAAACTCGGATAATGTCCGAAACAATTAAATAGTGTCTGCAGAAAGCATTGTGTAAGTGGAAGGTGCTAGTTATCCCGGAGGGACGGTGAAGGCAGACGCCAGGTGGGCAGAAAGGACTGAAAAACCACTGCGCCTCGCAGATCCCGCTGTCTCCTGGAACACCACGGTCGTTCTTGCCTCAGCGGCCCTAAGCCCACAGACAAGGGAAACCAGCGTGGTCACCCGAAAAAGTAAGCGGGAGGGAGATTAGGCCAAGCCGCAGTGGGAACCTGGGCTGCAGCCCAGCGGCAACCACAGGCCTCCCTGCCCCTTCCCTTCTCCCGAGGCCACATCCGTGTGCGTGTGTGCGCTGGCCACATGGGTGACCCCAGACACATCTCCCTGCCCTCGCCTGACCCGTTGCTCGTCGTGGCCCTCAGAGCTTCACAGAAGTGTCACCAGGAGCCTGCCCTTCTCATTAGGAAGATGTGACCAGCCAAGAGCCCCCTTCACCAATACCCATGTTTAGGGGATGCCGGAGCCTTGGAGCCCAGCCACACTCCCATCGTCCCCAACCCTGGTCCAGGATGGAGGTACATGGTAGACAGGCACTTAGAGTCAGTCAGAAACTCTGAGCGGGCGGAAGGCCCTGTAGCCTCTCGGAGCCAGAGAGACCGAGAGTTTCTCGGGACTGGGAGAAAACAAACCCAGGCCCAGAGGTGGGGATGCGGCCGCAGAAACAGACAGGCCCCCTCGCGTCCTGGTCTGACGCTCAGCCCTGCCTCCCCCAGCACCATCGGGCCCTTCTTAGCCTCCTCCTCCCCCTTCCCTGCCACCTGTACCCCCTTCAGCGCCATCTACCCACAGCCTCAAAGAGAAAGTACCGCCGGGTGCGCGTGCAACTGGTGGGGGAGGGGAGGGAGAGAGCAGGAAGGGGACTGGCAGGGGTGGTGGTGGGGTGGGCAGGAGCCGAAAAACACCTCCAATAACTCACCTTCTGAACCTAGCCCCGCCAGCCACCTCCCTGCAGCGGATGGTGGGAACCCAGCTTGGGGAGGGGGAGCTGAGTAATCCTGTGATTACTCAAACCGTTGCCTGGGAGCCTGGCCTGCCAGGAACTTACGGTCTAAGGCCCTGCGGGTGCCAGGAACCAGAGCCAGCCAAAGGTCGGGAACCCCACGACTGACTCCCACAGTAGCCCCAACTTTCCCCACAAGCTCGCTGCTTCCTTGGGACTTTCTTCTGGCTCACCTGCAGGCCGCTCCCGAGGTGCTTAGAGCACCTTCCCCATCCAAGGACAATCCTCCAACTGCACAGCCTCCAGAAGGAGACAGTGCCTGCAGGCACACTGCTCGCTCCTAAAATCATCCAGTGACTAGTTCCCTCCCAAACCAGATTGCCTGGCAGTCCTACTAAAATCCAAATCCCGATTCAGGAAGTCTGAGGTGGGCCTTGAGCTTCGGGGTTTTAACAAGCTCCCCGCGGGTGTCAGCACTGCTGGTCCTCAGTCTACACTCTGAGCAGCGAGAATTTGGTTCATCTTTCTGCTCTTGCGACAGGCTGCCCCTCCCTGGACAAGGTCCCTCGGCCGTGCAAACCATTTGCGGTCCACTACCGACCTAAGGGAAACCCGACAGCAATGGGTTTACTAACATAAGGGTTGGGGGTTCAAACTCACCCAGCGGTGCCATGGAAGAAAGGCCTGATGATCTGCTTCCCTAGAGATTACAACCAAGACAACCCAATGGAACACTTCTACTCTGTGACACACGGGGTCACCATGAAGTGGAATTAACTGGAGAAGGGTTTTTTTTGGCTCCTCTCGGGGATGGGGGTGGGTTTGGTACTCTCTCCTCTGAACCCATCCGTGTATCTTCCCCTCCATCCAGCCTGATGTGTAAAGCTTCACTCTGGTACAGACCTAGGAAAAGAGAATGCCTCTCTTCCGAATTGCTTTACTTTCCCCAGAGAATGAAGGACCCCCAGGGAGCCTCCTGTCAGAACCCCCTATGCGGAGAAATACGGTAGGTTAGGCAGCGACAAAGTCGTCCCTTCTCTACATTCAGTCTACTCTAATCTCACAGGTCACAGCTGCAAGATTCATTGATAGCGCTTTCTGAATGCATCCAGAAGCCTGGCCCCGGGCCGCCTTAGGAAGCCATCCTTTGGGTGCTGTCCAGGTGCCCTATACCACAGAGAGGAAGTGGTAGAGCAGAGAAGAGGCTGCTACCCAGAGGGATGGCTCCCCTCAAACCCCAGAGCCACCCCAGCCCTGGTGAGGAATGGATCAGTCAGAGGAACCCTGAGGTCCTCGTCTCCTCCTGATGCCTTCTCAGTCCAGAGCTGGACCCTCCCTCTTTCCTCTCTCTTCCTTTCTCCAGGGGACACTGATTCAGGAGGAACAATAATAAGGACAGACACAGGCATTGACGACTTTGTACCCGGTGCCAGGCGCCTTCCATACATTTCATTTAACGATGCTAACAACCCTGTGGAGGAGGTACTACTGGTATTGCCCCCATTTTACAGATGAGGCACCTGAGGTCTAGAAAGACTAAGTGGCTTGACTAAGGTTACACGGCCTGAGTGGCAGATCTGGCATTTGAACCCAGATCTCTGAAACTCCGGAGCCCGAACCCTCACCCACTAAGCTCTGCACCCTATAAGGACAGACGCCCCAACGCACCAAGGAGAATTGGGTGAGGAGGAGGTTACGGTCCACAGGGAGACTGTGAGAAGTGAGGGGGTGGGCTAGCCATGGATTCCGGAAGGAAGCCCATGGCACTAAAGCCAGATGCGTGTCCGGCAGAAAGACCCAGAGAGCTGCTATTCCTGTGGCCCCAGCTCTTCCCTGCGGCCTCAGCCTCCTCCTGCCTTTACCCACTTCTGGGGCGAGCTTCCAAGGCCACGGGAACCATTTGTCCGTCCCCACAGAGCTTCTGACACCTCTGGGAGACCACGGCTCCTTTGGGGGGGACTGGGCTTCATCATCTCAGAAGGCCCCTCTTTGCAGAAACAGTGAACAAGAGCCAGGAGGAGGAATGCATCCTCTTTCTTAGCTGAGGCCCTTCCTCTCCCCACTGAGACCACAGCTCCAGCCAGGGGTCCCTGTGCACACCAGCCCTTCGTCAGCTCCCTCCTTTCTCAGCTCTCAGTTCCCACAGCTTCTGCAAAGCTGGAAACCAAGGTGGTGGGTGCCGCCACAGCGGGGGAGAGGGGGCTGGGCGAGAGCCAGGAGAGAAGCTGTTCTGCCTGGTGAACGCTCACCCCAGCCCAGCCCAGGGCCCTTCCCCCGGCCCAGGCCCAGACTTTTCTGCTGATCCACCCAGATCCCGGGGCTGAGAAAGTTGTGAAGCTAGAACTCAGGTGGGCGACGGAGAGTCTGGGGTTTTGAAAAGCCACCAAAGACAGCCAGCCACCCGAAACCCCCTCCTGGTGCCCCCGCCACCCCCGCAGTCTGGGACAGGAGAAAGGAGGGGAAACAGAATCAAGTGAAAACAACTGGTGAATGGGGGAGGGGATGAATCACGGGAGGAAGCTCTGAGAAGTGGGAGCCCAGGGCCACCAGCGCCTTCCCTGCCTTCAGGGCCCATCTCCTCCTTCCCAAGCTCTCTGCTGAGCCAGGAGGCCCCTGGGCCTGGGAAGATCCTGGCTCTGGCCCCCAGGCCCAGCCCTGTTACTGGCCCTCCCCAGAAACAGACATCTCCAGCTGCCTGAGCCCCACAGCTCCAGGGGCAGCAGCAGGGCGAGTGGAGGTTAGACCTTAGAAAGGACTAGCCATTGAGGACAGGAGCAAGACCCCAGAACTGCCTTCCTTGGAGAGCTCCCAGCATGGGAAAGCCCCCATCCGCTGTTAGTCTGAGTCAGGGGAGCAGAGGCAGGGGAGGGGCAGGGTAAAACCAGCACACATCTTCTCATTGGGAGGGCCAGGCTGGGACTCTCCAACCCTCAGGCCTTGGGCTTGGAGTGGCTGGGATTTCTGTTAGGAATGGGGAGAAAGGAAAAGGGGAAGGCGCAGAGGGGTGCAGGGCAGCAGGGAGCCCTTTATAAAGCCCTCAGGTGGCCTGGGCTCTCAGGGCGACATCTGTGGCTCCCTGGGGACTTGGACGTCTCTTTCTGGCCCCCTGCTCCTCATCATAAGGACCAGACGTGAGAAGGTTCGGGCAGGGCACAGCAGAGACAGGCGTGTGACCCCGGGCCCCATCCTGGACTGATGCCCATCCCTGTGGGCTCCACGCTGGCCGTGCCCCTCAGGGTGACATGAATGGGCCACCCTCCCTCTGGCTGGCTGGGGTGCTCTGTTACTAAAAGACAAGACACGTCCTCTGTCCTTGCCAGTGGCAGGTGACCGTGTCAGGGAGCCTGTACTGCCCTTGTCTGGACCCAGGCTTCCCCTTACTGCTCCCCTAAAATCAACAACAAGCCCAAACCCACTGCCGTCGAGTCGATTCCGACTCATGGGGACCCCGTGTGGTACAGAGTAAAACTGCTCCATAGGGTTTTCTCGGCTGTAATCTAAACGGAAGCAGATCTCCAGGCCTTTCTTCTGTGAGGGGTTTGAACCGCTAGCCTTTAGGTTAGGCCGTTTGTGCTACTCAGACCTGTCAAAAACTCGGTGTCCCCCCTTCCTGCCAGCCCCCTTTTCTCTCTGTCTCTCTCTACATCCCTGAGCCTTTCCTCCTCCTGCGTCCCAGCTCTGTCTCTGGGGCTCCTGCCTCAGTGTTCTCGGCCCCCCTGGTATTTCCTCCTTTATGTCTGTGTCTGGACATCACGCTCTCCCCGTGTGCGTCATGGACCTTTCTGTCCTTTGAGTTTGGCCTCTGCGTCTCTCTTTAGGTCTTGGTCTGTTTGTGCTCCGTGGGTGTCTGGCCCGTGGTCTGTGGGTGTGTCTCAGTCCCAGGCCCCAAGCCCTCTCACTCTCCAGCTGTGGTCAGAGGGAGTGGTGGTGGCCGGCACTCACTGGTGAGCGAGACAGATAACTTGGGGCCGTGAGACACCAGACGCCCCGTGAGCAGGGCCAGAGGCACGGAGCCCCAGATTGCAGGAGACCCCCTCTTCTACCTGCCAAGGGGCTGGAGCTGTGGGGGTAGAAGCCAGAGCTGCCCAGGCGTCTCCCTCAGCCAGCACCAGGGCCTGCCCTCCTGCCAGGCTCTGAAGCACACCCCAACCATAGCTTCCCAGGCTCGATTCGCTCATTTAGGGCCACTTCTGGGAAGTCCAGTCCGCCAGCCTTTGCTGAAGCTCTCAGGGGCTCTTGTTCCTGTCTGGAAGATTGGGCTCATGGGCCCGCCCCTCCTTATCCAGCTCAGGCACCTGCACGAGTCTCAGTTCCCATCACGGCAGAGGAGATGTTGGTTCTTTCCTTTCCCTGACCCTCTGGGAGAGCTGAGTCTCCTCCACTGCCCTCGACAGATGCCTAACTCAGGGGCCAGGACTCTCTCCTTAGCCCTGGGCCCTCAGAACTGGAGTGTCTCCACAGCTGGTTCTGTAGTTTTGTTTTTAAATTCTGCTCCTTTGTTCTGCAGATGAGGAGACCAGGCGCCCCTGCGACTTGACTAAGGCCACAGGGCCAGTCAGTGACAAAACGGCGCCAGAACCTGGTCTCTAGACTCTCAGTCCGTGGGTCTTTCCAGGATCCAATATGGCTTCCCTTCTGTGGCTTGTGGGAAGACCCCCAGGTCAGGCCTCAGGGGCACGGGGCTTCCCTTTTCGTCCCTAACCCTGTGTTCTGAGAAGATCTCTGGCTTCCCTTACATGGACATGGGGGTGGGGAGAGGCAGGTGGGTCTCTGACTTGCCCACCCTTGCTCTGCTAGAAGGCAGAAGAACCTCTGCCCACCAGCTGTTGGCTCATGGCTCCACGCCAGGCTTTCTCCTCCCATCTTCACTGTCTTGCTCCCCCATCAACTGGGCAAGGAACCCAGGGACCACACGCACACACACACACGCACACACACGCGGCACCCACACTGGATTCCACAAGGTCCTCACGTCCCTGGACTGGGCAGAAAGCGCGGTGACCCTGAGGCCTGGAGGCTGGGGTTCCAACCCCTCTGCCTGCTGACCTAGGCTTACTCTCTGTGCCCTGCTACCCGGGTGCACAGGAACTCCACTGGCCTTTATCACCCCTTTATCACCAAGGGAAACACCGCCAACAGGAGCCAGAAGACCGGCTGCCTGTTCGTAACCAGCCTCCATCAACCACCAGCTGTGACATCTTGGGCCAAGCACCCCGCCTCCCTGGGTCTCCGTCTCTTTTCATAAAACGAAGGGCCGGGAACCTCAGATACTCTCAGAAATCCTTTCCAGAACTCATAATAGAGGAGCCCCTCAACCCCCCCTGATTGTCGCTGCCCTAAGGGACGGGCCTGGCAGGGTGACTCCCCAACTATTCCACCCATCTCCACAGATCTCCACCTCGTTGGGTGCACAGCCTGCCCGGGAGGAGCACTCAGTCTTCCTCACGCTGTCCCCACACTCCTCCCTTTCTAGTGGTCTCAGGAATGACAATCCAGCCTGCCCCCGGCCCAGGTGCCCCACTCACTTACTTCTCATGACTGAGCCACTTGCTTTGGCAGCCTTGACTACCTGTCCTTCTCAGCCGGGGTGCTCCAGGGATGGGGGCCTAGCCAGCTGGGAGGGTGGAGGGCGTGGGACCTCTGAGCAGCACCTCAGCTCACAGCTCTGCACCCAGCTCTCCCCCAGAGCTTCTGGGCAGGGGGGTTTAAGCTCCACACTGCACAGGTGGCCGAGGGACAGCCCCCCCAGTCCGCCCCCCAGGGGTGCAGTGGATAGGATGACAGGCTCCCCAGTGGCCAATCTGGGCCTGGGACAGGGTGGGGGGGCAGGGGGAGGGTGTGAGGGGCGGGGCAGCCAATCGCAGGGGGCGTTGGAAAATTCCAAAACCACATGTGACAGCCACACGCGGTAAGAGCTCTTTCCACCCGCCAGGGTGGTTCTGGCCGGGGAGATAGAATGGAGCACACACGAACCTGGGCCACGTTCCTACTCCCCCTCCCCCTGAGGAGCCCCTCAGCCTGACCCTCTTTGCCAGATGCTCACGGGATGTTTCCAGAGGTAAGTCTCAGGAAGTCTGCCCAGGGTGGTGGCACGTGCCACCCAAGACCCCTGTGGACCACCAACAGCCGTGCCCAGTGTGGTGCTGGCTCATGTCCCCTCCCCATACACATGACGTGTGCCCTGGGCTAGGGGAGAAACGGTAATAACAGCAGCAGACATAATCATCAGGCAAAAGCCCACTGTCTGCGGCAGGGGTTAGTCCATCAGAAACCTCCTCAGGAGCAAAATTGCTAAGATTGGAATGCAGATGAGAATAATGATGATGATGATGATAATAACAGTCCTTACTATGGGCCAGAAATGTTTCTAACTCTTTTACGGGGATTATTTAATCCTCACAAAATACCTTTCAAAGATGAGGAAAGTGAGACCCAGAGAGGTCGAGTAACTTGCCCAAGGTCACACAGCCAGTGAGTGGTGGAGTCAGGACTCGAAGCCAGGCAGTTTGGTCCCAGACGCCACTCAGGGGAAGGGAGGCTTCTCTGCATCAAGTTTGCTCTCAGGAGCATCTCAGCCTGGGAAGCCTCCTGGCACGTGGGTCTCTCTATAGAGTTTCTTGGCCTGGGGGTCTTTTTGAGGGGCGCCAAACAATTTCAGAGGCCCTCCCAGCCTCACACCTGCTCTAGGGGCATCTCAGTCTTGAGGGTCCCTCTTCAGGGCCCCTCAGTGTCAGGCCTACCCTTGGTCTGGGAGTCTGGTCTGGTGTTCCTCATCTCAGACCCCCTCTTGGGGTGGTCTCAATTTGGTGGCCATTTCCCAGAGCCTCTCGGTCTGGGGAAGGCCTCACTCCCTGCTGGATTCTCTGGGCAAAGCTGCTCAGAGGGCACTAAGTTCCAGATCTCTAGCAACTCCCGGGCCTGGCGCAGGCCTTCCTTCCCAGTGGCCTGGCTGCCTGGGGCTTGCCGGGCTGCCTGGGGCTTGCCGGGCTGCCTGGGGCTTGCAGGGCTGGGCAGACTGGGGCAGGAGCTGTCAGCCTGGCATCTCATGAGGACGCTCACTGGGTGGGAGGCAGGGTGGATGGAGAGGGCCAGTGGATTGGGAAGGGAATAGTGAGTATGGTCCTCGTGGAGGTTTCTATAGTAAGGGGTTAAGGGTAGGAATGGGGCTTAGCCGCTCCCAGTTCCAGCTGCTCCAAAAGTCCCCTTTTCCCCCCACCCACATTTGGTCCCTGGCCCCCCCTCCCAGAGCTCACCCTCGTCATTCTTTGACCCGTTTTCCTCCAGGGGCCCTGCTCAGCATTTCCGTGGGGCCCTGTGGCTAGGGGAGGCGAGGCACTGATCAGGATTGTGCTGAGCAAAGCAACCCCCCAGCCAGGAGGATGTAGCCTCCTAATGGTCCCTGGGCCTGTCTACCTGGCCCGGGGAGGAGGGTGGCGCTGTGGCTGCCGTCTGAGATGTCTCTGCTCCAGGCAATCTTGGCAGCAGGAGGGGTGGCAGTGAGCTGTCAGGAAGAACCAACAGGCAGTCCAGGAGAGGGCCGAGCGGACGTGCAGGAGGCCTTCCTCCGTAGAGTGGGCCTCGCTAACTCAGGGACCCAGGCTAACGAAGGTCTTCCCCGGGGGCCCGAGGATGGCCCTGGTGGGACGTGAACCTGGGATTGAGGTGGAGTGGGTGTATTTTCTGTGGGAGCAGCCTGTCCCACAGACCAGGAGGGTCCCTGTGGAAGATGCTTACTGGCTAGTGACGGCCCGGAAGTCCTTCTTGAGACCCTGCCCCCTTCTCTCATGCCGCAGCCTCAGGCTTTCAGTGGACAGTCTCCCACAGAGTATCCCTGCCCGTTCTGTTTCCTACAGAGACGCAGCGTCCCTGGTCTCCAGCTTCCCGTAGCTCCAGGCTTGTTCACACCTCAGGATGTGTTAACCACAGAGACAAGCACCAAACCTGGCTTTGCGGCCACAAAGCCTGGCGCAAGCTCCTGGCCTCCGGCTGCAGAGTCGCCAAGGCCACCCCACCCTCTCAACTCCCCATCTCCTTCCCTTCCTCACCCAGCATCGGCCCCCAGCCCCGTCCACCTCCCATCCCCTTTCTCCAGGAGTCGCCTTTCCTTAGTTCTGTCGCGGTGTCTGTACGGTGTATCTCTTCCATTGCTCTTCAGCCTTCTGCTTTACCGACTCATGGCCCTTGACTTCTCATGTGGCTTCTCCATCCCCTCCCCTCCGTTCCTCATCTCCCCATCTCTCCCCTGCTTTCCTGGGCTCGGCCTCTCTCCAGGCCCCTGCCGGTCTCTGCCTGCCCTCGGTCTCTGTCCGACCCTGAGCCGTTTTTCTTCGCCAACTTCCTAGAGCCCTTGCTGACTTTGCGGCCATCTCTCCAACCCCAGCACCAGTTTCTGCCTCCCCCCACCGCACCCCGTTCCCCCACTCACAGGTGTGGGTCTTCTTTGCAGCCAGCAGCTCTGTAAAGACAAGAGAGGCAGTCAGGGTCAAAAGTCACAGCTGCCTACCCCCACCCATTCCTTCCCAGCAGAGCCTAGTGTCTGATGAGAAGTTGGGGCCACCCTCTGCAGCACCCCTCTCTCCTTCATTCCTTGCCCTTCGGCCGGCTTCCAGGTCCTCAAAACTACCACCCTCCTCACTGCCTCTGGGATTTCCCACCAGCTGTTCCTTCTGCCCGGAATACCCTTCCCTCCCCCACCCCTTATCTAGCCATCCTCTCTGGAGCTCTCTTTCTTGGGGAAGCCTTATGAGGCCCCTGCCTCATGCTTACACGCTCACAGCACCTTGGGTTTGATTTCCTGGCACGAGCCACATTGAGTACCTGCCGTGATGGCGTAATTATCTATTAAACGGGTCTTTCCTGCAGGCTGTGAGCTCTATGAGGGCAGGGACTGTCTGTCTTGTTCACCTCCTATTCTTTTTCAATGGCGTCTGGCATATTAAATCTCTGTGGGAGTTAAAGCTCTTGCTTGCTAATCTGGTCCTGGAAGCCTCAGGGTGCTCCAAAGCTCTGCAGGGCGAAGGAAGGGGCAAGGGGGTTGGAGGAAGAGGAAGAGAGGGCTGTAAAACACAGACCCCCCCTCTGCCTTCCTTGGGCATGGCTACACGGGCCCACCAGCCTGCAGGGAGGGGCATCCTTGTCCTGCTGTTGCTGCTGTGTGGCTGGGCCTGGGGGAGACCAGGGAGTAGGGGGCACAGGGAGGTCACCTTGGGGTGGGCAGGGACACGTGGACCTCTGGGAGGGACAGGGAAGACCAGCTGGGCATCAGCTGCTGAGGAGAGAGCCTTAGCTAGTGCGTGGTGGGGGCCATCCATCCGTACAGTTAGCATTTGTGAAACACCCACCAAGGGAGCCTGGGAAGAGGCGTCCCTGCCAGACCTCCGTCCATTTCCCATATCCACACAGCAGCTCTGCCCGGAGCGCAGGGCCTGCTGGCTTGTCCCAGAAAGGCCTGCTGCCCTGCCTTACAGCGCCTATCCCTTCCCCAACCTCTGACTCTGCTCTCCTGGTTTCCTTCCCCCTTCTGGGACAACCCCCGCCCCCACTGTCCCTCTGCTCAGGAGGTGTCCCTACACTTTGCTGGCTGGGGATGAGTGGAGCTGAGGGCTCTGTTGGGGCGGGGAAGGACCGCCCAGGGAGGGCGTGGCTCCCTCCGGCCCCTCCTGCCCCTCCCATCCCGCCTGGCCCTGCCCAGCTTCCTCCCTGACGTGGCACCTCTCAGGCCTCCAGCCCTGCACCTCAGAGCAATCCTGGGGGGGTGCTCCCCACCGTTGCCCAGCCAGCCCCTTATTCCTCCGCCAGGTGGCCCTGGAGCTTGGCAGCTCTGGCGCTCACTCACACAGCTGAGCAAGCATGTGGCAGTAGGATCCTGCCCCAAGGGGGTCCCTGAGTTAGACGTTCGGGGGGCCCAGGGCTGCCTGACTATCCACCCCTGCCCCAGCCCTGGGCCCCCTACCCCCCCCCGCAGAAATGAAACCCTATAGCCCTGGGCAGGTGGAGAGGACAGTACCCGGCCAGTGGGCACAGACAGCCCACAGGGCGTGGCTGCCCATCACCCTTGATCCCCTAGTTGCCGGGGTGTCATTCCTTAAAGGCAGGACAGCTTCTCCATTAGTGAATGAACAGAGGTGGGGTGGCCAGCCTCCCAGCCACTGCTGCTCGGGAGACATCCGTGATGTCACCCCTGGGAGGCCTGCCCACCTTCTGTTTCTCGGTCCACGGGCCTAGCTGTCCGGTTCTCTTCTCGGCCCCACCTATCTCTCTCTCCTTCTCTTCTCTCTTGGTGCGGTTCCTCTTCCTAGTTCCCCTCCCCTGTCATGCCCCGTCCATCCGTCCATCCGTCTGTCAGTCCGTCATGGCCCCAGTCTCCTCTCCTTTGTCTTCCAGACTGTCTCTAGACTCGCTCTGTGTCACCCTCCCGCCTTGCCCTGCCAGTCCATCTCTCTCCTTCTCTGCCTCTCCCCTGCCGCTCTCCACCCCTCCTCACTTCTTGCCCAGCCTCAGCCCATCTCTCTCTTCCACCCGCCTGCAGGGCCCTAGGGCTTCTTACCCTGCGTGGCGGCTCGGGGCTGTCTCTGTGGGGCCCTGTCCATTAGGTAGCTCCCTGGGTGCCGTCCTTGCTGCCCTGGCTGCCCAGGAGGGCAGGGAGCAGGGCTCAGGGGACGGAGGAGGGAGGGAGCACCTGGCCCAGCGGCAG